CAATATGTCTTGCTAACAAGTGTGCACACCAAAGAGGAAAAAAAAGAAGCTTCTATTTCTTTTTTTTCCCTTTCTCTTCCCAAAGCACTCCTCAAATCCTTTATTTAAGCACAACCCTAATGTTATGATACTTGGTAGAGTTATTGAGCGATTACTTTTTTCCCCATTTCTTATGACTTGTAGGTTCCATTTTGCCCAATGGTTGGATCAGAAGTGTGTTATTCAGAAATGAAGAAAACTAAGGTTTTAATGAAAAATTTTCGTCGTGCAATTGGTCTACGCATCAAGGAAAATAAGAAATTTTATGAAGGAAAGCCAAGTTGCCCTTATCTATTTTTATCAATCGTAGTTTATTTTGTCCAAGGATCTTGTGACCTTTTGTATATTATTGTCCTTATGGTTTTGGTTCCACTTCTGATGTGTTTTGGTTGTATTATTTTCTAGGTGATTGAAGTTTATGAAGGTACTATTGAATGATTATATATTTATTTCAATTGTAGTGGATATGATTGCTATTGAAATTTTGGTTATCGAAATGGGCTTGTTTTGGAATTGTTAGGTTAAGCCCAAGGGTGTGACCATGACTTTATCTATGCTGGTGTAGTTGGATCTTTATCTGTTGTTGGAGTTGGTAGAAAAAGCCCGGGCCAAGCAACTTCAGCCCCATGAGTACAATTCAGGTTTTTAATATTTTGTTTTTGTAAACTTGACTGCAAACATGTCTCTAATACTAAGTCAAAAAGGAAAATGAAAAGATAAGTCAAATGTGGCTCAAAATGAGTGATTGCATGGTATCTCTTATTTCCATATTAACCACCATCTCTATACTGCTACAGTGTCGTACATTATATAACCTGCAATTCACAAATAATTCTTAAATTTAACTTTATTTACTAGGAAAACACAATTATCAAACATCTGGGTGTCTTCCTGCTAATCATTAATGAATATGTTTAGTTGACATTAGCTGGGTCAGGGTGACGACACATTTTCAGTTCATGATTAAGACCTTAGTTGTGGATTTTCAGAAGAGAGAGAAAGGGCTAAAATGTTGTGACATTGCTGGCAAAGTTGCTTGTATGAAATTTCTTATTGATAAAAACTCTCTTCAAGTTCGAAGCATTACCTTATAAAGAATTTAGGATAAAACCCATTTATTTTCCTCTCCACATGTTTCCTTTTCCAAAGAGTAAAAGTCAAGGGCAGAGCCAGGACTCCTTCACCCGGGGGGGGAGGGGGAATTTTGCTCGACAGATGGTAGGTCGGACATGGTTTTAATAGATTAAATAATCATTAAAACATTATTTAATATAGGCCAATTAACCTAGTCGAAAATTTTAGGAGAGGAGTCTCAATATAGACATATTACTCACTTCTCATAAGTCTATGTAATTATTTGAATATTAGTCAATGTTCTTAGGCTCATAAAGCTTCGCAAGTGGTTTAATAAAAAAAACTAAAGGAAACCACATAAAAAATCAATCTATTTTCTCTAACAAAATTTAATTGCTTTTAGCAAATGTTTTTTTGTTTGTTGGTTGGTTTGTTTGTTTAATATGATTTCACATTAATCAAACCAAACCAAACCAAACCAAGCCTTAAGTCCCATCAAATGGGGTCGGCAACATGAATCCTTTTTCTCCACGCGGCCCTATCAAAGACCATTTCATTAGTCAAATTAAAGAGATCCATATCTCTATTTACAACGCTAACTGTAGACACCCCATTTTTTACCGCCCTTAAGGCTTGGGCGCTATTGATTGTTTACTTGGTGGTGAAAGTTGTGCAGTGCAAATGCTCGATTTCTTCGGCAAGAGAAGAGTCAAATCCTAACCTCACACCCCATTTTGGACCAAAGCTATTTTGGATGGTTTTTAGACCTTAAAACCCTCTCTTTCAAAATATTTTTGAAAAGAAGTTTCTACGATGTTCTGAGACTCGTATTTTGTCAAATGTTGCGCTTTTCAGTAAACCGAGCAAGGACAAAGTGAAAATGAATGAAGAGAAATGAACTCTTTGAAAAATCTTTCAAAACACCTTGCTTAGGGGTTTGGAGTTGAAGAAAATTGGAGGAGAGGGAAGAAACCAAGTTAAAGAAGAAGGTGGGTATGAATCGTTAAGAAAGAGTCGAGCGGTCCTCGCTAAATCAGGCATATCTGTCTATACACTTGGATTTAAGCTATAAGGCCACCACCATTGGAAAGAAGACTTCTGGGGCTTCATTTTACACTCAAGAATCTCCTAAAGACGAGTCCGGATGGGGGAGATATGATTGGTTGAAGTTGGGCATCATTCTGGTTGGACCGAAACTGAGCAGCCTTCACTAAAAGAGGTATATCTCTTAGCACACATGGAATTTTGATGTAAGGCTTCCATAATTGGAAATAAGACTTCCGGGGCTACAGTTTAGGCTCAAGAATGACCTGAAAAGGAGTCCAGATGAAGGAGTTAGGCTTGCTTCAAGTCAGGGACCAAGACTGATTTTTTCCGTCGGCCTCTATGGGAGCGCATCGGCCACAATTGGAGCTCATCGGCCATAGGTTGGCCAAAAGTGAACCTTATTGGCCACAAATAGTGGCCGGTTGGCACCAAAGATGGCCGGTCGGCCAGAAGTGTCCAAAACTCATATTTTTTGCAGATATTTCTCCTCCAGCTGTTTCCAGCTTGTGCCACCTGCCCTAGCTCAGATATTTCGACCAAAGTTGATATTTTGCTATATACGAGAGCCTTATATCTCATATTCAAGGGGTTAGAACATAGGAGGATAGATTAGAACAATTTTGGCAAAAGATTTGGGAGCCTCTCTCTCTAAAAACTCTCTAGATTTCACTATCTCTAAGGATTTTGTGCTTGAAGGCTTGCATACATCCATCTTCAACTTATCAACCCTTAAGAAGACTTGATCACCATTGGGCTGAGGTCCCTTGGAACTTGTTTTGGGCTGCTAAAGCTTGGTTTTAACTCAGAAATCTTGATGTTTTGCTGTTTGGCTTCAAAGGTAAGCACTTGTCCCTCTAAAGCTTTGTTTTGCATGCTTGTTTTACCACCTTTGCAAACTGTTTTTGGCTTGGTTTTGAACTAAAGAAAACTCTGTTTTTTAGTCCTAAAGATTATGGTTTAGGCCTATTTTGTGTTAGGGGGTTGTCTCTCCCTTTTGTTCCTTAACTTGTATAGCTTTTGAGCCATCTTTCAAGGCCTTTCAAAACAACTTTTCGTGGCCTTTTAACCACTGAAAGCCAGAGAATTTTCAGTGGTAAAAACCCTATTTTGAGGTCCCAAATAGGAGAGGGTGGTCCCCTCTCCTCTTGTCTTGCTTGCTTGTGTTGATGGCTAACCAAATGAGCATGTGTTTTTACTTCTTTATGGCTTTGTTTAGGGTCATTTTTGTGACTTCTTAGACCTGCCATAACTCTCTTTTTGGCTTGTTTGATCACTGGTTGCATGCTTCATGCACTTGTAGTGTAAATCATCTTTGCTAGCCTTGCATGCCTAATGAGTTAGCTTGTTATTCTAACATGTGCTGGCTTAGTCTCAGCCCATTTTTGGTGTTATTTTGACATGCTCTAACTCTGTTTTGAGTGGTCTTCATCACTCAAGCTTTGCTTTGTATACTTGTAGTGCAATTGTGCTAAACTGCCTGACATGTGCTATTGTTTTGGCCTCTAAATCTAGCCATTCTTAGCTTATTTCAAGCATGTTTTAGAACTCCATTTGGGCTGTTTTAGGACTATTTTGGACTGCCTTGGTCATATGACTCATGTTTTGTATAGCTATAGTGCAAATGCCTTGACTAATCTTGAGTTTTGAGGTCCCTACCATGCTATACTTGTGATGTTTACAGGCCTTGGCATCATTTAACATGTTATTTCAGAGCACATAACATTGTCATATCCTCATGCATATCACTCTTTGATTGACTTGGAGAGTTGTGCTTTATGCCTTATTCATGGGACAATGCATGAGCATGCATCTTCTTGCTTTTAATGCTAGCATTTTGGAGCATTTTGGCCACTGTTTTGGCATACATGAGGTCTGTCCATAGGTGGTTTAAGTCCATTAAGCATTGTATTGCATGCCTCTTCTATGATGCTCTTTACTTGCCTTGATGCTTTAGCCTTCAAATATGCCATGCATGCATTATTCACATAATAGAATCTTGTGCATGCCATTAGCATTGATAGGTTGAGCATGTTGTTTGCATGTGTGTTGCATTGCATTGTGTTTGGATCGAATGTTGATCCAAACACGAGAAACGAGGGACGTTTCATACTTGAAGTGATGAAACGTGCCTCATTTCTTTGTCACCGACACCTTTGATCATGCATGATAACTCGTATTTTGTCAAATGTTGCGCTTTTCAGTAAACCGAGCAAGGACAAAGTGAAAATGAATGAAAGAGATATGAACTCTTTGAAAAATCTTTCAAAACACCTTGCTTAGGGGTTTGGAGTTGAAGAAAATTGGAGGAGAGGGAAGAAACCAAGTTAAAGAAGAAGGTGGGTATGAATCGTTAAGAGAGAGTCGAGCGGTCCTCGCTAAATCAGGCCTATCTGTCTATACACTTGGATTTAAGCTATGAGGCCACCACCATTGGAAAGAAGACTTCTGGGGCTTCATTTTACACTCAAGAATCTCCTAAAGCCGAGTCCGGATGGGGGAGATATGATTAGTTGAAGTTGGGCATCATTCTGGTTGGACCGAAACTTAGCATCCTTCACTAAAAGAGGTATATCTCTTAGCACATATGGAATTTTGATGTAAGGCTTCCATAATTGGAAATAAGACTTCCGGGGCTACAGTTTAGGCTCAAGAATGACCTGAAAACAAGTCCAGATGAAGGAGTTAGGCTTGCTTCAAGTCAGGGACCAAGACTGATTTTTTTCGTCGGCCTCTATGGGAGCGCATCGGCCACAATTGGAGCTCATCGGCCATAGGTTGGCCAAAAGTGAACCTTATTGGCCACAAATAGTGGCCGGTCGGCACCAAAGATGGCCGGTCAGCCAGAAGTGTCCAAAACTCATATTTTTTGCAGATATTTCTCCTCCAGCTGTTTCCAGCTTGTGCCACCTGTCCTAGCTCAGATATTTCGACCAAAGTTGATATTTTGCTATATACGAGAGCCTTATATCTCATATTCAAGGGGTTAGAACATAGGAGGATAGATTAGAACAATTTTGGCAAAAGATTTGGGAGCCTCTCTCTCTAGAAACTCTCTAGATTTCACTATCTCTAAGGATTTTGTGCTTGAAGGCTTGCATACATCCATCTTCAACTTATCAACCCTTAAGAAGACTTGACCACCATTGGGCTGAGGTCCCTTGGAACTTGTTTTGGGCTGCTAAAGCTTGGTTTTAACTCAGAAATCTTGATGTTTTGCTGTTTGGCTTCAAAGGTAAGCACTTGTCCCTCTAAAGCTTTGTTTTGCATGCTTGTTTTACCACCTTTGCAAACTATTTTTGGCTTGGTTTTGAACTAAAGAAAACTCTGTTTTTTAGTCCTAAAGATTATGGTTTAGGCCTATTTTGTGTTAGGGGGTTGTCTCTCCCTTTTGTTCCTTAGCTTGTATAGCTTTTGAGCCATCTTTCAAGGCCTTTCAAAACAACTTTTCGTGGCCTTTTAACCACTAAAAGCCAGAGAATTTTCAGTGGTAAAAACCCTATTTTGAGGTCCCAAATAAGAGAGGGTGGTCCCCTCTCCTCTTGTCTTGCTTGCTTGTGTTGATGGCTAACCAAATGAGCATGTGTTTTTACTTCTTTATGGCTTTGTTTAGGGTCATTTTTGTGACTTCTTAGACCTGCCATAACTCTCTTTTTGGCTTGTTTGATCATTGGTTGCATGCTTCATGCACTTGTAGTGTAAATCATCTTTGCTAGCCTTGCATGCCTAATGAGTTAACTTGTTATTCTAACATGTGCTGGCTTAGTCTCAGCCTATTTTTGGTGTTGTTTTGACATGCTCTAACTCTGTTTTGAGTGGTCTTCATCACTCAAGCTTTGCTTTGTATACTTGTAGTGCAATTGTGCTAAACTGCCTAACATGTGCTATTGTTTTGGCCTCTAAATCTAGCCATTCTTAGCTTATTTCAAACATGTTTTAGAACTCCATTTGGGCTGTTTTAGGACTATTTTGGACTGCCTTGGTCATATGATTCATGTTTTGTATAGCTATAGTGCAAATGCCTTGACTAATCTTGAGTTTTGAGGTCCCTACCATGCTATACTTGTGATGTTTACAGGCCTTGGCATCATTTAACATGTTATTTCAGAGCACATAACATTGTCATATCCTCATGCATATCACTCTTTGATTGACTTGGAGAGTTGTGCTTTATGCCTTATTCATGGGACAATGCATGAGCATGCATCTTCTTGCTTTTAATGCTAGCATTTTGGAGCATTTTGGCCACTATTTTGGCATACATGAGGTCTGTCCATAGGTGGTTTAAGTCAATTAAGCATTGTATTGCATGCCTCTTCTATGATGCTCTTTACTTGCTTTGATGCTTTAGCCTTCAAATATGCCATGCATGCATTATTCACATGATAGAATCTTGTGCATGCCATTAGCATTGATAGGTTGAGCATGTTGTTTGCATGTGTGTTGCATTGCATTGTGTTTGGATCGAATGTTGATCCAAACACGAGAAACGAGGGACGTTTCATACTTGAAGTGATGAAACGTGCCTCATTTCTTTGTCACCGACACCTTTGATCATGCATGATAAGGTGGAGGTTCATTGAGTCCTATGTGTTACTTGTGCATTCATCAACATTGTGCAAACTTGGCTTCTTTGGCCATCATGCATTGAGATACGTGATTGGTGGCTTGAGAGCCGAGCACTACACTCCTTTGAGCTTGAGAATGATAAGGAGTGTGGTTGCACACACATTCCCTTGTAAATACACTGTCATGCCTCTGTTTGTGCTCTGTTGCAGCAAAAGGAGAAATTGCAGGAAACAATGGCCGACCGGCCATCAAATCTGTCGATCGGCCACCAAGTCTGCCGATTGGCTATCAGAAGCAAGCGATGGTCATCAACTCTAGCCGATGGCTATCCCTCTTGGCCGACCATTCCTCAACATGTTTCTAAGGTGGGTCAGAAATATTCTAGAAGTTGGCATAATTTTTCAAAGGTACAAAAGAGTGCAAACAAAGGCATCATACGGCACGGTAGTGGATTTCCGAGCGAAACCAACCGAGCATGCATGCACCCCTCGTCACGAGGCCATTTCAGTGCTTTTGTTAACTTAGAATAAGCTGCTATTTTATTTATAAAAGTGTTGTAATTAATTAGTTAATGCGTTTAATTAATTGATTCGTTTTATAATAATTAGTTGTAGCTAGTTATTTGATTTGTGTTGTGTAATAATTAGTCTAATTAGATTATTATATTAGTTAAGTAGTTTAGCTTAGCGTAGCTAGCTTGTATTGTTATTCGGACCCTCTGTTGAGAGGACACAAATGTTGTAATAAGTGTGCGGGTGTGTGTGAATGTCTTCCAACCTCACGTCTTTCTCTCTTTTACTTATCCGCTTTCAGTGGTTAGATTAGGGCATATTCCGATTAGCATACCTTATGCTTTGCATACGTGCATCATTCATTCATATTGCATGCACCGGGCTTGGCGCATCATACAAACTGCATTGTATTTCAATACTAATTTGAACACATGTTATCAAGAGTTGTATTCACATGACATCTTAGAATAGCCGAGCCTATCTTAGTCGCATTTTGCATGTGTTGCATTAGGCATTCTTGATATAGTTAGGATCATGCATTGATTACTAACTAGCTTCTTTTTTTGCTCGGAGTACTAGGTAAGTTTTTTCGCTTTAGCATACCGCATGAGATGTGTATGTTGCCATATATAGCATGCTTGCCATGAGGCTAACTACTTAAGTGATTAACTGCTTGAATGTTTGTGGATGGAGGCTTGATTGCTTGAATTGGGACAATTCATCAAATGCGAGTTTTAAGCCCACTTGAGAGTGGCAAATCATGTTATTTTCTAAGCCCACTTGAGGGTGGCAAAATCCACGACTTAGCCTACTTACGAGTAACACCTTCAAACCATTTTCAAACAAACAAACATGAGATGTTTTGTTCCAATTCGAGTGATTTAGTTTATACTTGTATGTTGTGCGCATCATTTAGTAAGCTAGCTAATAAACCGGAATAAGAACACATGTGTTTTCAAAAACAACATATCATGTTAGTAAAGGCCGATCTTTGATCGGGCGAGCGGTGATGCTCATTGCATGACCTTTCCCTCTCGTACCCAATTTCCCGAGCCGAGGTAACTTTGGTGATGACGGACACGTGGCCTTAGGCACGAGTCAGAGTTTCCTAAATTTTTCAAAATAAAATATTTAGGTGGCGACTCTGAAATCTGACAAAGCAGTCCATGTTTGGCGCTTTTTTATTAAAATCGATTTTCCAAAACGATTTGCCGGATTTGGACTTTTTGGTGATTTATCAGTCTTACATTACACTTTGTGAGATTAGATTCAGAACCGTGACATGAGTCCGAACTATAGTAGCCAAGAACAACAATTCAGGCCCTCGCGCGCGGAGCGAAGTTCCGGGCGGTTTACACTAACCAACGTTAATCTAGGTCTACCCCATCCTCTAACACTTCCATCTACCATTACAGTATTGCATCTCTTCACTACTGCCTCTGTTGGTCTCCGTTGAATATGACCAAACCATCTCAATCGATTCTCTCTCAACTTATCTTCTATCGGTGTTACTCCTACCCATTCCCGAATACACTCATTCCTAATTCTGTCTTGTGTAGTCTTGCCACACATCCACCTTAACATTCTCATCTCAGCCACACTCATCTTATCTACATGTTATTTTTTGGTTGCCCAACACTCTGTCCCATGCAACATCGCTGGTCTAATAGTCGTTCTATATAACTTACCTTTAAGTCTAGTGGGTATTCGTTTATCGCACAGTACTCCAGAAGCACTTCTCCACTTACACTATCCCGTCTTAATCCTATGGGTCACATCCACATCAATCTCTCCCGTTGATGTGATAATCGACCCTAAATAACGAAACTGTTCACTCTTAGGCAGTTCTTGGTTCTCAATCTTCACTTCTCCTTTGCTTTCATTGTTACTGTTACTAAATTTACACTCCATGTACTCTATCTTAGTTTTGCTTATCCGAAATCCTTTAGATTCAAGCATTCTCATCTCAGCCACACTCATCTTATCTACATGTTATTTTTTGGTTGCCCAACACTCTGTCCCATACAACATCGCTGGTCTAATAGTCGTTCTATAGAACTTACCTTTAAGTCTAGTGGGTATTCGTTTATCGCACAGTACTCCAAACGCACTTCCCACTTACACTATCCCGTCTTAATCCTATGGGTCACATCCACATCAATCTCTCCCGTTGATGTGATAATCGACCCTAAATAACGAAACTGTTCACTCTTAGGCAGTTCTTGGTTCTCAATCTTCATTTCTCCTTTGCTTTCATTGTTACTATTACTAAATTTACACATCATGTACTCTACCTTAGTTCTGCTTATCCAAAATCCTTTAAATTCAAGAGTTTTTCTCCAAATCTCCAACTTTGTATTTCACATTAATCAAATAGACTATATTTTTAATTACCAAAAATAACAAAAAATGATTTTTACGGCGTGCAATGCACGCCGTGAAAACCCTTCTACGATGTGCCAGCGTGCCTCATATTATGACCAATCATGAAAAGTCATTCACTTTCAACGACATGCTTCGTACGCCGTTAAAAACTATTTAACAGTAGATTTTGTGCATCGTACACAATTAAAAACTATTTAACGGCAAATTTTGTGCGTTGTTGTTGCTTTTTCTATGACTACTTTTGCACGCCGTTAATTGGTGAAACAAATAACGATGATACTTGCACGCTGTAAAATATGTAATATAACGACTTAGGGGTTGTTTGGGATGATCTAAATAAGTGCATTTTTTGACTTTTTATAAAATATGAGTTGGGTTTGAAGTGATGTGTTAGAGAGGTGAAGTGATTTAAATAAGATGATGTGACTTAAATAGGATAGTGACTTTTTGACTTTTTGTCTTTTTCAAGACATGCCAAACTTGACCTTATTATGCCTGCCGTAGAATATGCAGTTTTTTTATTATTTTATTTTAAAATTTAGCAGGTTCTATTTGGCTAATTTTGTACAATCTAATAAATATTACAAACAAGCATCACAAAACATCAATTAACTGCTAAAATATTGTTTGAAACATAAAAAAAAAAAACTATATCCATAAATTATAAACATTCAACAATAGTCTATAGATTTCAAACATTCGAAAACTATATCCTTAAGTTCTAAATTGTACAAAAAGTTTAAACCATCCAAAACTATGCATATCTAACTTTCTGAAAATATCGACAACTATTAAGAGATTATCTAAAACTACTGACAACAGTTCCTATAACAGTTATAACTACAGCTGTAGCAAATCCACTTGCTCCTATCACAGGGATGAGGGTGCCCAATGTATGTGTTAAGGCACCTAAACCCGCGGTAATAGCTAGAGTAACTAACCCTGATGTATTTCTTGTCTGCGTGAGAAAGGAAACTTCACATAAGTACAAAAACCAACGGCTCAGGGATTAAAATATTTCTTGAGGTATTAAAAAATGATCAAGAAATTTTAAAACATCAACAAAACATTTCCAAAATTAATAAGATAATTCAATGGCCCCATAAAAAGCAATGTCATAATGAAAAATTAGCAAAAATTCAAAATCTCAATAGTCTCAACGTATATACAAATAAAATCCACATAAAACAAAATCTTTTTTTTCATACCTCAAATGAAATTACCTCTAATGAAGTTACCTCTTTTGTTGCAAGGGAAATAAGTAGGAATCTTCAAAAAAATCATTAAGTTTGTACAGAAAAATATAGTTTGCTACTAAATCTAGGCCATAAGAAGCTTAAGAGAAAAAATAAATTTAAAAAGAGGAAGATAGAATTAATCTACTTCAATGCAGCACCTACTTGGGACTTGCATAATTATGTTATAAGATCTCTATGTATGAGGTTTAGGTTTGTATAGGTTTTATCCCTTACTATTGTAAGTTCCAAACTAAAGAGTCCAAGTCAAATTAGAGTCTATTACTTACAAGTTTAAAAAGAAACTTTCAATCCATTATAGAAGAAATGTAGGTAAATTTTAGTAGCTTTAGGCACTTTTTGGGACAATGTGATATAATTCTATCTGAATACTTAGTAACAAATACATAAGATAAGGAACTATAGGAATAATCCCTACGCTAATCTTTTTTTTCTTCTCCAATTTTTCACTAGTATCTAATTCAATCACAAGCTATTACTAATTCCATTGACTCTTGAACCTTATAGCCTACTTCCTGATATTATATGCCTTTTCTCTAATAATTCAACCCTAAAAAGTATGCCACTTGAAAAAACTAACAATATTCATAAATAACATAGTTGCTTCATCCATACCATTTATAATCTACAAGCCACATCCTCCTAGTGTTTCCAAAAACCGACCGCCACAATTATGTAAGAGCATGTTTGATTGGGTGGATTAGAGCATGGGATTGAGATTACTAATCCGTGGGCTCAATTATTCTATGTTTGTTTTAATATTTTGGTTTAGGATTATTAATCCAATGGATAATTAATCCAACAAATTTATAGGATTATTAGTAATGGGGTAGGGGTAGGATTATTAATCCAATGGATATTAATTCAATTGGATAGTGAATACTACACTAATTTAATAGGATTATTAATACTTCACTATTAGTCTTGTGAATCAAACATGACCTAAGAGTATTAGTGGCTCCACCACTCCAAAAGGGATGTATTAACCTCACTTGCAGAAAATCAATGAACCTATCACGGGTATGACAATAATATAGGAGACAAATGTATATGCAAATGCAAGAACATGCAGTCATCATTAGGGAATTTCAACCTATCAAAGGAATAATAACAATTAAGAAGATGTAAATATATGAAATGTTTGAGTATGGAGATATATGCAATCATAATTAATAATTCCAGCTAATCTGAGATGCTGGAATAAAAGACTTGTTCCAATTAGTAAAAGTTCATTATCTTGAACTCATTAATCATTAGGGAATTTCAACCTATCAAAGGAATAATAACAATTAAGAAGATGTAAATATATGAAATGTTTGAGTATGGAGATATATGCAATCATAATTAATAATTCCAGCTAATCTGAGATGCAGGAATAAAAGACTTGTTCCAATTAGTAAAAGTTCATTATTATCTTGAACTCATTAATAGCCTCTTAAATGTAGTTCAAGGCAACAATGACCCATTGTGTTTTATTTTGTGAAACATTTCAGGGCAACATTTACAAATAGCCTCTGACTTTGGCCGAATCATCCAATCATATGAGTTTATATGATAATTAAACAACCTTATAATTAGGCAGAGTACATATATTGAGCAATGCTTTATTTCACCAAATTCCTGAGGATCCATTTTCAAGATCTAAGATACACCTAGAGCATTTGTTCCAACCTAAAGCATAAACACCTGAATACCTAAATCTCACGCAAAACTCAGGCCTTCCTTCAAGCCCAAAGGACCAAGGTAAAATGCCACCATAATTGCCATTACTAAACCTGGGAAGCATACTTAGTCCAGCCATCTAAATCATGGACTTCTCACAATGTGATAAATTTGCTCTCAAATGGTTTTGCTGCCATGAATGATATAAAGTGACTGTTCAATATCCAGAATATATATATATATATAATATGACATAATATATAAATTGCAATTTATAGGGCAAAGAGAGAGAACCACAGCTGCGAATTTGTCAACAGAAAAAAGAAGAAGCTGAAATTCTTGGGGGAAAAACAATGAACCATAACCATAACTACCTAATTTGACTATAATTGTCTAACTAAACCATATAGTTAACCTTTAACAAACTAACAGCTAATTTGCAACTTGCTTTGCAATTCACACGTGCTTGAAATGAGAGAGAGACTTCAGCTGATGAGAGGGCTGCAGCTGATGCTGCAGCTACTGTAGCATTAGCAGCTGTGTCTGTTCTGAGCTGCAGCCTTGGCTGTGGCTGTGGCTACTAGCTGCTGAGGTGTGGCCTTGGTTGCTGGACTATGGCCTTGGCTGCAACTGGCTGTTCTGCCTTATCACTGTGGCCTTGGCTGCAGCTGGCTAGTTTTCACTACCTTGACTGCTGTGGCTGTGGCTGTGGCGCTGCAGCTGGCTAGTTTTCACTACCTTGACTGCTGTGGCTGTGGCTGTGGCTATGGCTGTGGCTGTGACTGGCTGTTGTGGCTGCTCTGCATCACACACAAGGATACCAAATAGCCAATCTCACTTTAATGAGGTCACACAGCCACCCTAACCTTCACTACTTCACCCAAAAATGAGTTAGCTTACCCCATAAAGCCACACTAACCTTCACTACTTCACCCAACTCAACACAAGAAGGCTGCCCATCTCCTCTCATCTCTCCCCAAAAACCTTCATCCAATGTTCCTAAATTGGAGACCATTGTTGAAGAAGGATCCAACAAGTTTGACCTAGTGCACAACCACAAGTTGATGTATCTTCTTCATGTGGTTCTTTCTATTGTTTCCTACATATTGATAGACAAATACATCATTGCTTGAATTGTAGTCCTTTTCACACATATCATATTGATAGACAAATACATCATTGCTTGATGGACAAAGAACCCCTTTGTTGTTCTGCCTCAAAACAATCCCAACCGTTTGATCATTTGATAACCTAGAGACATGATCTAATTGCTATGAATATTTTGGGATAGCAAGACAGAGGAGGTGAGATATGTGTGTCTATGAATTTGGTTGAGATTGTACCTGCCCTTTCAAATATCTCCAAAGACATTCATTCTATAAAAATAGACACATTTCTTGAAGAAAAGGTCTAACTAGTTTGATGTTGTGCACATCATGTTTCTGTGATCTTGTGTTTCTATCTTTTCTCTGTATAGCTAAATAGATATGTTCTTAATTGATGTCAACAAGATTGTACAAGGGATAAGAGACATGTGAGCTGCTAGAAAATTAGATATGGAGAAGTGTACTAACAGATTATATGCCCCCACAAGGGTTAGGTGTTTCTAAAGATAGCATCTTAAAAATAAAAATAAAAATAAAAAATCTCATTCTATTCATAAATATATATAGCAATAAAAGAACTTCAGTTTTAATAAAGTAACATACAATTAATCATAAACAAGATTAAACTAGAATAAGGCTGCAAAGACAAAATCAAAAACTTCTTGAGAGCAGTGCAAACAAGTTAACGGGAAAGCTTAACAGCTTCTTTAGGCACAAAAAATATTTTACACAAAATCAAGTTGTCAATGGAGTCTAAAATGCAATATGAAGCAAGAGATGATATCACCAAAGTTCACTTTTTCTTTCCTCCCATCAGCAAAACAAGATTAAGACAGTCAATATGTATGTAAATAGCATTCTATTGAAAAGCAATCCAAGCAAAGTTGAAAAGCACAAATTAGATGTGCTGGTTATCAAAGAAATATCACCCTAACACGCGACAAAACCAACCCAACTCCATAAGTTTTCAACCTTCCAAGAACCATCTACACCATAATCTCTGAAGAAGCCTACAAAAATGAAGCCATAATTAACAACACTACTCCATTCATTTATACAAGTAAATTTCCTTGCACCTTGAAGAAAAAAATTATTATGTCTCTTTAATTAGCTTTGAGGGGATTGCTAAAAGAAATTATCTTCACGGTAAAAAGTAACTTTTTCCAAGCAAATTTTTTTCGACAAAATAGAGTGTCAACTTGCCTATCTGCTACAAAGAGAAACCAAGAGGACCAAGATATTGTGGGGGCATCGGCATGGATTCTCTTGTCATTGTGTGGTGTGTTGTCATCTATGAAAAGAGCAGTTTGAAGTCAAGTCAATGTTTCTTTTCCATTACTTCAGTGCATTCTCTAACAAAACGACATCATGTTCTGTAAGATTTTGTTTTCCTTTTAAAATTCAATGATTGATTATAACAAAATATGATTTAACAATTTTCACAACTTAAAAAAAATGCATAACAAAGTACATATAGTGCATCCAAGTTAGACATGTTTCAACTTAATTCTGTTAGCTCAATAATTCATCTGATTTTAAATTAAAATGTCCAAATAAGCATAATTTACAACAGTAAATACTTACCAAATCATCATAATTAGCCCCCAAAAATAATTTTTTTTACAGGAATCAGACCATCAATTTTCACCAAATCAACACTACCAAGTTCACATACTACTTCAATCTCTTAGTCATATCTTATAATCAAGTAAAACACAAGTAGAACTTAGAATTTGCATTATCAATGCAAAAACGTGTGCACAGCAGTAGATATATAAACAATAAATGCACAGGTCACCAGTATAATCAATGTCGCGATAGCATGAACCGTCGATTTGCTGCCACAAGACAGAGTGGAACATATACCCCTTGTTTGCTATGCTCTATAAAGGAACATAGTCTATGTCTGATAGACAAAAGAAAAGTTAAAATGAACAGCATTTTCTAGTAAAATAAATTATGAATGGAAAAGAAAATTAAGGTAGGCTCTTTGACAAGCAGATTAGCCAGTGATTAATGAAAAACACTGCAGCAAACATCGACTGTGGGGCAAAAAATTGATTACAAAATATTATTATGAACAATATAAAGCATACCTGCAAGAGTGCAATGATAGTACCAAAAGAGTTTGACAAAAGTGGAGCCAAATCTAGAAATAATTCTCTCTTCTAAACATATAAACAAAGACAAACACAAGGCATGAGTAAAAAGGCATAGTACAAAACAATTTTCTCTTCTTTCTAGATTTTTTCCCCTTCTTGGTAAGGTACAAGAGGAAGGGGAAAAGTTGACACAGTAGAGACATAAGTAACAAGGCATAGTACAAAACAAAAGTTAGGCACTGGTAAGTAGTATATAAGGTGGCTTCACACATTCTTTTATAAATGTATAGTATGTGAATATATACCAACATATGAATTTTGTGGAACCATCTAGAAGGGGAAGGGAGGGGAAAAATAAAAGAAAACAGCAAAGAATTTTTAAAAAAAATAACAATACAAAGGAAGTTCTTCAATAATTGTAATTTATCAAATTAGGAATCAAAAGAACACAAATTAACTAATCAAAGACCTTACAAAGGTCAATGTTTCTCCCCCACTTTCATTCCCATTGCCAAACTCTCTTTTAACTTTATATTTATAATTTGTATGAATGCCAACAAAAACACATGTCCTTCCATGTTTATCCCCTGTTCATTTCATTCCCAAACTATTTCACTCTATATTAATAATTTGTATGAATGGCAACCCAAAAAAAAAAAAAATTTCCTTTTGCTTCTTATAGAAAGAAAAATAAAAATGATGCACAAATATAATTGTTAGTGCATTTTAATGTTTGACTATCTATAAGGTGTATAATTGTTAATACCACATGAGTGCTTTGAGAGTATTCTATAACTACCTCTAAAAGTGGGGAAAAAAAAAAAGGAATAGCGCCTTTCAGTCCACAATTCAGGAGGCAGACCAAAAAAATAAAATAAAACCTCTGGAAGAAATTTAACTGAAGGAGAATGAAAAAAAGAGACTGCACAGGGCGTTAAAAGTGGAGATCATTGATCCATCTTTCAACACCCTCACTTAACTGCCAAACTTCACACACAAAATCTTTTCTTAAATACCAAACAAACAAAAAGAAAAATCTTTCCTTCAATTTAACTAATCTTCTTCATTCATCAAACTGTCGCATCGCATTCTGCACCCAAATGCTAGCAAATTTAAAAACAAACATTGGTAAAAGATTTCATTATGAGATTATTTAATCCTATCCTGCTGTTATCTTTGAATCAAATGTGGGACTTAGTTCAGTAGTACAATATGAAAAACACTGAAGAAACAAAAACATACCGGATTGAGCCTATGACAATGCCTGATCCATTCACAGTCAAGAGGCACAACCAAAGGGCCTTCTGGAAACTGAGACTCGGTATGTATGTTTACCCAAAATAACAATCAATTTAAACTTTCATTCTCTCGTGTTAAATCTTCAATATAACCACAAACCCAGAAAATTCCGATTCCAACAGATCTTAGACCCAAAATTCCCAATTCACAAACGTTTGTTCATCGAAATTGTACAATAATTAGCAAAGAAACACAAATTGAGGACTTAATTGCACAACAATTAATCCAAATTCAAAACTCAAACACAACTCAAAGTCGAAGAGAGAAGAAGAAAGAGGAAGACTCACTTAGCTAGGTCGCCGAGCTGACGCAAGACGCCAACGAGACCGGCCATGGGTACTTTTTACTTTTGCAATTCTTGAAGGCATGTATGTAATTTTGGTAAAAAATATCAGAAAATAGAGAAGAAAACAGAAACCCATAAAAAAAATCAAAAATTGAAACTTGAGGGAAATGGGTAGTAGTTACTTTTACAATTCTGAAGGCTAAGGACTCCAAAGCAAGTGAATGAATTAGCGATGACAGAGAGATCAGAGTTGATGACGCTAGGGTAGAAGGACCTGGAGATTGACTGAGAGAGATCGAGCTCATGGAGGCGAGTGAAGCGAGCGGCCATATTGCGAAGCATGTGGGGTCCGGCACGGGCGGCGAGCTTACGCCGCTCAGTGCTTTGCAAATGGAGTCACCACTTGCAGACGAGTCAGAGATGCAGACGAAGGTTTGCTAAGGAGGGAGGAGCAGCGACGGCGGTGAGGAGAGTGGGTGTCGACGAAAATGAAGAGGCAAAGTTGCTGCGGAAGAGGCAAAGTTGATGTTGTGGTCGTGGTGGAGAAGTGAGAGAGAAGGAGACAGATAGATGAGGTAGGGCACAGATTGTGTTAGGATGAAATAGTTAGGGCTTTTGTTGTTTCCCTTTTTTTTATTTTTTTATTTTTATTTTTTTAGTGTTTGGCGTTCAAAATTTTCATATTGGGGCTACTGTTTTTTGTCTGTACCTTTCACGGCAGCAATTCTGTGTCGTCATACTTTTAACGACAGTTGTGTGTGTCATAAAAAGTAGAATACTTTAACGGCAGATGTTGTGTGAGCTGTGAAAAGTGCAATACTTTTCATGGCTGGAATATGTGTGTCGTGTGTAGTTGATGTATTAACGGCAATAAAAAAGTGCAATAAAAAAATAGACTATATTTCTTATTTATTAAATTATTAGAAGTTTGTTTTTTAATACGTGATTACTAATAGCTTCTTAATAGAAGGCCGAGTTAATTTTTTGGAGACCATTATATGAGAGATTAAAGCCTTGTTTGGTTTGTGTTTCTCAAAAAATTTTGAAAAAAATTCTCTATAAATAAGTTTTCAAAAGTAATCAAACCAAACAAATTTTTCCAAAACTTGTTTGGTTTACAAGTTTTCTAAACAAATCTCTCTCTCATACACATCAAATCAATCACTTTTTCCAAAACTCTCTCTCAAAATAATTTTTCAAAACATCTTTTGAAAAAAAACCAAATCAAACAAATTTTCGTACTTTTTATCTCAAAACATGTTTCTCAAATACAAACCAAACAATCCCTAAATTTCAAAGGACAACCCTATATTACCTGGAACGTGGACAATTCTAGTATGTGAAACGGAAACAAGAACACGGTACACTACACGTTCTAAATTGTGGTATGATAGGGATAACTTGTATAGTTTACACTATAAGAATTTAAGGTACTTCTAGTCTAAAGCAATTTATTTTAACAACTACGCATTCAATAAAATGTGGTTATTTTCAAAATTAATCATGTACCAATACAATTCTATGAGCATTGTGACCTATTTATGACGTTTTGTTTTGTCAAAACCTCACTCACCTTATATTTTAGTTCATTATATTTGATAAAAAGAAATATATTGAAAAAAAACATTTGGGATTGTTTTGGATCAATAAACTTTAGGTTGTGTTTGGATTATGGATTTGGGTATGGAGTTAGAAAGGAAAAGAGAAAATGTGAGTAAAATGTGATCCCCGTTTGGGAAGTGGCTTTTTGGTTAAATTATGAGATGAAAAAAATAATATGTTTGAGAAGGGTTTTTTGACTTTTTACAAGAAGTACAAATAGTAAAGTGAATGGGAAGGAATTTTTGACTTTCTTGTATGAATTGAAAATTTATTGGCTTTTTGACTTTTTTAGTAACTTTTTGGCTAAAATATTAATGACCCCGAAATATAAGATAGGTTTTTTTCCCTTTTTCCTTTTCCTGTTTAAATTCCTATCCAAATCCATAATCCAAACACAATGTTACCGTTTTGGAATGGAGTGTACATATTTTGGAACATGCATTCCAAATCATAATTCGCTAGATTATCAACGTTTTCTGGTAACACTGGGACAACCTTTTGTACAAAGCGGTCGTTCTAATTTTTTTGGGAATGCCAGATTTATTTTGGGGGCGCTATTACACGAAATACAATAATTTTTTTAGGGTTTCACAAATACAAAAATGGGTTTTCAAAAAATGTATTGTCCCCCTGGCCACAGTTTTGAGTGTTTGGGTAATTAGAAGTCGCTGAAGCTGATTGAACAGCTCCCTGATTGCAAGAGTGAAATTCAACTTTCACAAGTGTTCCCTGGGTAATCTTGGACTGTAAAAAAGTGAAGGCATCTTCAGGAATGAAGCAGGAAATACTGCTCTTTTGTTCTCAATTTAGCAGGGTGGGGCTTCCCAAACAATGCTAAGAAGAGAATTTTCGGCTCTCTTCATCAAAGCGGGTATTCAATAGTTTCCTGGGTTGGTTAATGAGAAGGCATGGTTGCCATTGAATCATCCCAGTGAGGAGTCATTTAATCCCTCTTTAGGTCCTTGTAGGGGTAGGGAGTTCGAGTTAGCTTTCACATTCCTTGTCCTCAGCTGGTGCAATGAGTTGTATATCCTTTCAGTTTTTATAAAGGGTTCATCATCCTCCCCACCTTTTTTTCTATCCTGGTTATACCTATACAATTCCTTACTGTTCTCATCAAAAGGCATACAAACACAGGCACATGTGTCTAGAGGTGTATATTTGAAACAAACTACAAGTACAGCCAGAAATGCAATGATGATTAGATGTATATTAATAGAGAAGGGATATCATACAACCTCTATAATTAGTTGACCTTAATGCAGCTACCCGCTGATCAGAGGAAAGATCTGACAACAACACACTACCAAGAGAGGAACCGCTAACAATCAATTGATCATCACTTAAACCTAAGCATGTCACAGGTCAGCATGCATCTTGCAAACAAGAATACCAAGGTACATAAAATTACCATGTAATACATAAATAATTTGCTTTCCACTCATTGTTTCAACAATATTTAAGAATACAGCAAAAAAATAAATTTTCATTACATAGTAATGTCATAGAGAAGCCAAGTTGCCATTGGGCAGAAAAAACTGACTGCATGGGCTTAAACTTTTACTTTTTACAGGAAAGTACCAGTTAAAAAAGTAATTTTCTGGTGTCATGTATAAACTGACTACATTGGTACATGTAGAGGATGAGTATCTAAACCCTGTATGAAAATTAGATACTTGGAACCTCTCATATCACATGATGTAAGTAGCAGCTCATAATTAACAGGGAAGAATGCTTTCAAGCTTCTCACATGGATAGGACATAAAAGATCACTTTTTGCACTAAAATGATAATAACATCCTCCAATAAAATGCTATGCAAAATACATGTATTTAAAGGCACAAAACATGTCTATGTACCTAATCCAACTTTTGGTAAATATCCCTGTATCCTAAGGTTGAGGTTGAGGTTGGGGAGTGTATGAGAGGGTTCAAGAACGTCATTGGAAAATTTGAAGATCCTTAAAGAAAAATTTGAATTCTCTAAAAGATGATGAGAGGCTTAGATTCTTCAATAGTCTCAACTCAGAACACAAAAGCAAAGAGATGATAGAAATAAGAGATTGGGTGGAGAAGAAGTCAAAATAGTTAGAGAGAGAATAATGGCAAGGCTCTCCCGTGGATCTCCCACTTTCACTCTCAAGGTTGATAATGGAGAAGGGAAATTAGTTCTTTCCCAAGAGTTTTCTCTCCAAAATCCATCCCTTGTAAAGCTATGGGTGGGTGCTATTTATAGGCACCTCATGATGTAGGATGGAGCCCATGTGCAAGGCACATGGGAAATATTCTCTCTAACCACCTTGTCCAAGGAGGTGACCTCTCCGAGGATGAGGAAAACCCCGAAGAGGAAATCAACCTCTCGGCGAACGCTTCTTCTTAGCCACATCTAACCAATGATCCCCAATCATCCCAAAGGGTCAGGGGTAGTCCCAGAGGACGTCTTGCCGCAGAAGGGTCAGGAGTAGTTCAAGAGAACGCCCTGCTGCAAATATTGCTGAGTCTCAGGGACCCCCTAGATCATGCCACTTCGACCTGGGTATAGGCTAGTTTAACCGAAGAGTGAATTTATCTCCACTCACCGTCCTCGAGATCGGGTCCTTTGTTCGGACTCCATTACGTCCATGGTTCTGGTATGTAGGTCCCGGAGAGCTCCGAGTCCACAAGTGTTCTGGGACTCATTAATGGAGCGGCTTCTAGATTGCGTCTAAATCCATTCGAAGCCAAGTGCTTCGGATCTCTAACCCTTTTGAGTCCGAGCCCGAGTAAGTCTCTAAGTTCGTGGATCCGAACCCTTTCGAGGCTTAGAGCGATTCCGCCCGTTTGATGGCGATAAATCCGGGCCCACCAATCTTGGACTTGCGATAAATTCGGGCCCACCAATCTTGGTCTATTGGGCCTAATTATTTTGGTGGGCTCAAATTAGCTCCTCTTACATTTGCCCCTTCCATGTATGAGAAATTGTAGTTTTCTTGGACATGCATAGTTTCACCTTATCAGCCATGCTTCGCATTACGTCTTCAAGAATATTTGGTCTTCATGTGACTTTTGGATAAAATTGATGACTCATAATATAAATTATGGGTAAAGTTGACAACTAATAAAGATAAGAAATTTTTTTCCCTTTTTCTTTTTTGTATGAACTTTTTTTTAACTTTTTTTTTTTTTCAAAAGTCAATTTGAATTCTTCAATTCCATAAATCAGTAAGCATGAGTCTAAATCTTTTTTTTTTTAACTTATAGAATATCTAACGTCCACTTTTTTATTCCAAGTCAAAGAACAATAAAGCATTTATTTTTTTATTCTAAAAAAAAAAAAGATCCAAACACTTTTTTTTTTATTGGAAAAAATGTTAGACACATTATATATATATATATAGAAAAAAGCTTCATACCCCCACTGGGGGTCGACCCCCAGTGAGGTGTCGGCCCCGGATTGGTCCAAAAAAAAAACTGTTTTTTTTTTTTTTTAAGTTTTCAGCCAGTGGGGGCGCGCCATGTCACTGGGGGCGCGACCCCCACTGGGGGTATGCAGCATGTTTGTATATATATATATGTATATAGAGTAGCAGAATAATCTGAGAGGCCTTCTTTGTCTTTTCTTTTGTTTGGAAATAGCGAGCCCATTGTATGCATATATAGACACACTAGAATATTTGAAAGAATATCCAAGCATCACACCTTTTTTTTTTCTATTTAATGAAAGGGGCCAAAACCCTATTTCATAGCTCACCTTTTTTATTTGTTGCACAGCGGCACTCTCTCTTTACACAGAGAGCCCCATCTTCTTCGTCTTTTTTGGTCTTTTGAAACCAATGGCATACACTCTCTCTAACCCACCTTTTCTTCTTCTTGAACAAACCAGAGCTACTGTCATTTGCACTGACCTCCATCGCGGCTTCAAGCAACGCTGCCAATCTGCCCCAACGTCACAACACAGCCACTGTCCTGTTTCAGCATCACGACTGCCGCAGACGTACGATCCAAGCTGTTGCTCACCATCGGTGCTTCAATTCAGCCTAGTGAGCTCAGACATTTGGGCACGCTAGATCTTGGTTTCACTCCTGCAGCCGTTGAAGTCCACCTCTGCTTGCGTATCGATTGTCGTCTCAACCCTCCGAGTGCCGCTGTCGACTTACGTGAGAACCAACCCCGGCATTATCTTGCACGCAACCACCTCAACTCGCATGGCTTGTGCGTCTCATGCCCAGCTCTTGCACCGTTGCTGTATTTTTCAACCGTAACTGAGCAGTGACGACCACGCCGCCCACTCAACACGGCGTCGGTCCATCCATATCCATTCTCATCCACTGTCTGTGCTATCATTGATCTATTCCGGTTATCGTTGCTGCTGATTTTACCAATCCGTGGCCTATTTTCTGCTTCCTGCAATGACTCTGACTCAACCGTGCTCTTCCTCTGTTGGTATAAATCTGTGGGTAAGCTCTTTTAATTTTTTTATTTTGGTGGAAGCTCTTGTGTAAACCCACTTTCCTTTCTTGTTTTGATGGACTCTTGTGCTCAGAATAAATAAATCCATGCACTGATACATTTTTTTTTTTGAATTTATCAATTCTGGTAATAATTTTGAGTTCAATCTTGAACTGTACTCTGTGCCAAATCTGGTCTGATGCCTACCTGATTGATTTTGTGGATATATTTATTGAAACCCTCGCTTGAGATTGGTGCTTCTCGGAATTTTCTAATAGTGCTTGAGATTTGTACCCCTCGGAATTTTCTGATAGTGCTTGAGATTTGTGCTTCTCGGAACTTTCAGTGTGATCCATGAATCTTTGTTGTTGATTGCTTCATGAAACAAAACGTAGTTGCCAATCCTCATATAAGTTGAGCCATTGATGTTTGGGATTGTTGTTTGAACATTATATCCCTTGAAATCCATACTATTGAATCTTAAACTCATAATTCGAACTCTATAGCTTTTGTTGTTGATGATGAAACCTGAGGAAATAAACCCCTTATATTGTATATAAATCTTGTTATCAAATGATTGATTGTTGTAACCTTGAGAATATTAGATATCATGCTTGAACTCCTAATGTAGAATTCATCGTAGGACTTGTTGATATGATGAAATACCTCGTTGAATAATAAAGATGATATATTGTTGTTTGTTTAACTTGTGGATGCTCGAAAGATAAGTAGTTGATGCATGATGCTAAGATTTTGTTTGAACATTGTTGCTTTACGTCGGCTAGAGAGGAACTGACCCAAGGAGACAACACCTTGATTGTTGCATTTTCATGAACTTGCTCAGAGGAGCAGAATTGTTCTAGCTTAAACAGATCATTACTATTATTGATGTCGCCTCTATTTCGATAATGTTTGAATCATAATCTGAACTCGATATTGTTTGTCTAGTTTGTCAGTTTTACTATTTCAGGCAAATAAATTTTTGTACGAAATCCACGACCCCGGGGCCCTCAAAACCTACACTAATGAGAACAAGGGCTGTCCTTCGGAAGTTTGAACGAGAGCAAAACTGTCCCTTGGGAGTTCAAAAGTAGCATACACCCTACTTCAGCAAGAAAGATCCCTCTGGAAGGTAACCGAGTCTACCAAGCTTGCACTGATAGAAGTAAAGATTGTCTCTCAGAAGTCCAAGCAAAAACAAGGCTATCCCTCAGAAGTCCGAGCGGAAACAAGGTTGTCCCTCAAAAGTCTGAGTGGATGCGCACTTCTACTTTGGCAACTAATGAAAGCAAAGGCTATCCCTCTGGAGTTCGAGTAGGGGTCCACTCTACTTTGAAAAAAAAGATCCTCAAAGCTCGTATTGATGAAAGCAAGGGCTATTCTTCGGACCCGCACTAATGAGAGCAAGAGCTGTCCCTCGGGAGTCCAAACGAAAGCAAGGCTGTCCCTTAGGAGTTTGAATAGTAGCATATACCCTACTTTGGCAAGAAGATCCCTTCTGATAGGCCATCTCGAGGGCTATTTTCGAAAGTTTGAGTAGGAGAACACACTATACTTCAGCAAGAAAGATCCTTGACACTCTTTGAAAGTCTGAGAGGAAGAACACACTCTACTTCGGTAAGAAAGATCCTTGAGGCTCGCACTAATAGAAGCGAGGTCTGTTTTTCGAAAGTCTAAGTGAGAGCACACACTTTACTTCAACAAAAAAGATCCTCGAAGCTTGCACTGATGGAAATGAGATTTGCTCTTCGAAAGTCTGAGTGGAAGCACACACTCTACTTCAACAAGAGAGATCCTCGAAGCTCGCACTAATGGAAACAAGGCCTAATCTTCGAAAGTCTGAGTGAGAGCACATACTTTACTTC